AAAAAAAAAAAAAAAAAAAAAAAAAAAAAAAAAAAAAAAAAAAAAAACGCCTTCACCACACAGACTTTCGGAAACCCACCTTTATCCGCATGGGCTTTCCAAAAATTGGTTGTCGTCAGCGTAGTGACCCTGACAGATGGACCTCAAGACGCCCTTCTCTGCAAGACCTCGAGGGAACTTTTGAAAAATGGGCTGTGCCAGGCGGAGAGGATCGTGCCATCTCGAAACTCCTTTCGAGGCTGAGTGGCCTGACACCTTTCAAACGGTTTCCGGGAGCCCATGGTTCGAAAGGCTGTGTGGCGAGGCCCATGTTCTTTGTAGCACTCCTCCAACTACACGACAAACTTTTCATCGAAAAAAGCGTGCAAATAAAAAAATTGACAAAACCGTTCCATCCTAGAAAAAGACAAGGAACAACCTTCACATCCGGCGGCCTAGCTCAATTGGTTAGGCACGCAAGTGGCATTCAGGAGGTCGTGGGTTCAATCCCCATGGCCGCCTGTGGCATTCTTGGTGCTAACCAACCGAGATAGGGTCTCGCTCCACAACTATTCGTTTTACGATTTCGGACAGTGGGACACCGCTGTCGAGCGCATCGGCTCCCGACCATGTCACACAAGAGTAAAAACGAAACAAAAACAAAGACGACTTGGGAACGACGCGGAATAATTCCGCGAGCCGTCGAGACGGGTGCGTGGTCGCATCGCTCCTTCGTCGCTCTAGCCGGGTGCGCCAGCTGTACATCCCGCGCTGTTCTACGATAGGATAGGTTCCCGTGGAGCACAACTTACCTTCCCTAAGGGGTTGTCATCATCCTTAAGGGCATATCTCTACTGAGCTACTGACCCAAGTGCGAAAGCTTCTAAATGCAATCGTAGAGGTAGATCAGTCGAGGGCGTTTGTTCGTTCCCTGTAGTACATATACACTTGGTTAACGCCAAGCAGACCCGAGCGTCGTCCGTTCCTTAGGGCGCTGACCTCCTAAGTACGAAGCGTACGCCGATCGACTAGGACGGTCTCAACCAAGCATGAAACCCCCAACTCAATCCTAGTCCCTTAGACATATAGTCAAAAGAAAGTTATGTTTACATCAAAAGGGATCGACCGTAGCCGATAGGAATATATATTCAATCTGAAATGATAACTGAAAGATTTCAAATCATCATATGATACATCCAATTATACAAGATAAAAATAAAATTCAACCACCCTCGGTCGAATTCGATAAAACAACATACGGCCGCCAACGAGGAGTTGGCTTCCGACAATAACCTCGATGCGAACGACAAGGTAGTCGGTCTGCCTTAGTTTTGACTTGAAGAGATATGTCGCCTAAGTTGTTCATTCTTTTTCTATTCCAAATGACCTTATCTGCCTATACCTATCCAAATGATTCTTCTTATTTATCACCTCTAACTCTTATTCGTCTAAGTTACCCTCGATCTCGGAGAAATCAGAATAACTGAAAGTTACTTGCAGGGGACAGGAAGCATCTGGAACGGGGGTTCGTTGCTTCAGGAGCTGACCCTGTTATTGACCCAGAGCGGACCGATCTACGAGGGGGGTACTCTTTCGATTCGATAGAGACGGTCCGACTTCTGAAGTCCGAGTTTTGTGCTCGGGCGAGGAGGAGTGCCCCAGACCACATCCTAGAGGGTGAGACGTACAACACTTCAAGTAATGCACTTGATTAAGAACCACTCGCAAAGCAGTTTGTCATCCAAGAAAGATTAGATTTGTATGGAGATGGGTGTGCGCGTGTCTAATCTTAGGTCGGCAGTAGGATAGAGTCTAAGCTTGGCTGGAATTGTCTGCCTTGGCCGGTCATTGAATTGTCCGTCTGTGCCAGACTCGGCAATGTCCAACCTAGTTAGGTGAACCACCTGGTTGGAGGGTCGGCCTACTGGGCGCAACCCTTAAAAAAGAGGAGTTGTTGCTTCTGCTCTCGTGATAGGGGTTAGCCCAGTAGGTGAACGCATTGGACCGCCACGCTGCTGACATGGTGATAGAATCCAGAATGCGCCCGAACTGGGTTAGCTCCTTTTGGAGCCGGCCATCCGGATGGGGCAGTTTGGGCGCGACCAGACTCGGCCATGTGATCGGCAGGATTACGCGGCCCAAATTGGTCGAGCAAAGATTAGCATGGCCCCTGCGCAAGGATGACGCGCATAAATCGAGAAATAGTCCAATCCCAGGAGGGATTTGAACCCGAGTTTGCATTTCGAAGTTGGCTTGGAGAGGTGTGTGTTGTGACGTGACCGTTGGCCAAAGCCAACGAGAAATAAAAGTAAGAAAAAAGAAGTAAAAAATAAAATATAATAAAAAAAATGCGTCATGTGGCGCATGGAGATGTGACAAGGACTTGCAGTCCTTGAAGAGGAGAAAACGCTCGTTTTTAGGGTGACAACTCGTTTCATATAAGTTTTTTCATTTTGTTTTTTTTCCTTGTTTTTCTATATTTTGTTTAAGATTTCTTTTTATATTTGATTTTTTTAGATTTTGCTCTCGTCCAAGCAGTCGTTCGTTTTGACGAATGGCTGAGGTTCCACTAGCAAAAAAAATAGGATCGAGCTCTTGGATTTGGATGCGTTTTAAGCACAAATGCAGAAAAACAGTTCAATCTCGATTTTTTGCACATCTCCATAAAGTCCAGATTCCGACATTCGATCCGATCCTCTTTGTTAGTGGGACCATGCCCAGATGCAAAAAAAATAAAAATAAATAAAGCGTCAGTTGCCACACACAAAAGTGATTGGGACTTGTAGTCCCTAGAAAAGTTGCATGTGTCTGTTATGAACGGGGCCTCCGTTTTTTTTAAAGATGAGTTTTTTTGTTTTTTTTGTTTTTTTTTTCTTAGTTTTTTTTTCAGATTTTTTTTTTACATTTATTTTATATTTTTTTGAGATTTTGTTTTTATTTTTTTTTTAGATTTCTATTTCTCCCTGCGTGCCGTTACGAACTGCATAGGATGTCCGTTCGTTTTGAAGAACGGGCTGAGTTTCATCGGTGCGATGAGCAAAATCGAATGGACCTACTGCTAGAACAAGGACCTATACACCCTACACGTATGTTTTTTTTTTTTTTTTTTTTTTTTCTTTTTTTTTTTTTTTTTTTTTTTTTTTTTTTTTGTTAAGG